GAACATGTACTCTTATCCTGCCTATAAGTGAGATTCATAAATCAAACTAGAAGACAGAGACTTGAGTAAGTCTACATAATTTGAAGTTGAGATTCAGGAATTATTTCTTACATAGCATAAGAAATATATACACGATAATATTTCTATTAATTAATGTGTAATTAATTACACAATGTGTGTAATTTTAGACACTTCAAAATTACAGAGATCAAAATATCAATGAATAAAACAGGGATTTTCTTAAATCCTTATGAGAAAAGTGTTCCAAACTCATTGAGCTCATTATGTCAAATTTACCTTTATCATTTAAACTAAACATAAGGGAATGAACTAATATGGCAACACCTTTCTTACCATAATGAACACAGAGAAATCAACTGTTTCTGCCAAGATCCTTAATAAAGTAACAATCTGATGTGATAAAAATACAGATAAAAGACAAAATTCAAACTCAGGAAAATATCAGCATGTAGTACTTATTTAATAGGGTGTCCTCATTTCTTCATGTCTTTGTCCATGCTATATGTTGTTTCACAAATTTTTGTCCCAAACTATTGTCTCTCAGAATTGAACAGTGTATATCCCCTACATTTACTTTTTGCATTCTAAATGTGCTGGTTTGTCTTACACTGTTACAAAGACATTTGTGTTTGTAATGTGACAAAATGTGAAACTACATAACAAAATGTGAAAATATATTAACAATTTTGCAAAGAACTGTAACAGAAAACTGATTTCATGTATTCAGAAGCTGTGAGTCTGAACTTTGCCTATCAAATATTTAGTTAATCTTATCAAGCTAGGGCTTTTCATTCAGTCTTTTGCTGTTAACTGGTACCATACAGTTTATTTATCAAGCTCATGTGCTGACACTCATGTGTAGTTTGATGAGAAGTGAGACGAAACTATAGTATTCACCATGAGCTGAGCATACCCATGGCCAGCTGAATGGCTTGAAATATATCAGATAAACATAATGTAATTAAGTTATGCAAACCCTGAATGAACAAAGTTATCTTCAGTGAAAAACTGTCAAAAGGTGTTGGAAGTGTTTGCATAAGTAAGGCTGTGAATGCTAATTTGTAGTAGACCATATGGAGGCACCCACAGCAATGTTAGTAGGCGACTGGAGCTCGGAGGGCAGCGAGAGGTTAGTGTTATTGGACCATGCTATCATTATGAACAGTCATATAGTTATTGTTTTTGATGCTTATTAAGCTCCTCAACAGATGGACAATAATCTGGGGCATGATTACCATCAGAGGCAGTGGCTTGTAACTCATACTTACCAACCAAAGCTCATCTGGAGGACATTAGGGGACAATGGACTACTCTGACCTCAAACACTGTTTCCACCATACCAGACAAAAAAAACATGGCATTTGCACCTATGCATAAAAAAATGATTCAGCCTGATTTTTACAAGATCCTTCTGCTTTATTGTCCCATTAGCCAAACTCATCTATTGACACTATTTACTTATGTAAGTGACATTTGCAACTTTATTTAATTCAGTCAGTTACTAGCAATTGGGATGACCTTTTACTGGCTTCACAGGCTGGCGCTTATAAACCTCAGAGACTTTCCAGTTTTATAGCCACTCAATAATCACACAAGGCAGTATTGATGGAGTTGTTGTCTGTGACCACAGATCCAGAGAATGTACTGCCTATGCAATCTTGATAAAGATATTTCTGAAATTAAAATTGATGAAAATGCGGCTCAGGCTCGAGTAGTCTTGCAACCTTTTTGTTTATTTATTTTACACAAAGAGCAGATTGCGTCTAGTGACAGAGTCAGAGAAAGTGATAGATGAATTTTGGTTGTTTATAGTGGCTATCTGTTGGAAATATATGGGAGCTATCACTCTAACTATCTGTCAATATGATAAATATGCAATTTGCATTATCTCCCTTCTCACAAGCTGTCTACGTCAAAGTACTTTCGTCAAATTTTTTTATGTCCTTCTAGAGCAAATAAATTCTCTTTGACGCTTTTTAACCCGATGACTCCTAATCTCATTAACTACAAAGACTGAAAAAACCTCAGCTATTAATATGCAGTATCTGAATATATTGCCTCTTCAATAATAATCTCTGAATACACTTTGACAATTTTTCCAGTCGTGCAAATTTTTTAAGTACAAAGTCAATGATTCTCATTGATATTATTAGGTTTATTGCAAATATTCAAGAAAAGAGTAGAATCAATCAAACGAATGAGATAGATTGTACTTTATGAGACAACTACAGGTTTTATAGGGGAAGATTAATTTGTTCTTCATGTCTGTTCCTGCATCCTCTGCAATATGTTAAACATCTGATGACTCAAGGTCTTGAAGCAGTCTGTCATTTTCAGTCAGCAAGCTGAACATTATAAACGGCAGAGACCATGTTTCATACAACCTTTAGCATGATGTACAAGCTCCAGTTTAACATACTGAGCATGGAAACAAATTGATTTCATCATGCACTAAGAAGAGGGGAAATACAACTTGAGGTTTTTTTATTTACAGCTTACCCATTTTTAGTGACTCACAAGCAGACATTTAAGAGTCTGGACTATAAAAGTTTGTAATAAATCTGCAACAGTTCATCTTCAATTGCATATTGTTCAGTCACCACAAATGTTTTTTGGATTTTTTTTAGCCAAATGAAATAAAGAGCATTTCCTCACCTAACTTTTTGTTAGAAACGTTGTATTAACAGTTCAAAATCATAAAGATTAACTTCAGAAACTAAAATAAGTCTCCTTATTCCACCACAAATGTCACATTTCTATAAACTCAAATTTAGCACAATTCTATTGTGCTAACAACTCATCCCTAATGGTGCGTCGATACAAATATTACAAAGCATAATTCCAATAGACACCATCTTGAATGCCTGGATAAACAGAAACGTTGGCTTAGAAAATGTAATTTTATTTTCCAAAATACCGCTAGAGGATGCTCATTCAAGAAAACCATCTCCAGTAAAAGATACAATTTTCTAATATAATTATTTTTTCTATTAAGTGAAGATCTCTCCAGAAACACTGGTATCATCCATATTAAGATGGATTTATTCTGCTGTGAAACATACTTTATAAGAAAGAAAACAAAAAATGGCATAAATTGTGTGAATATGAAAGCGGATTTTTTGTAAACTTCATCAATTTTACTGTAAAATTGAATCTGCTATTTAGTAAGAGTTCACAAATAACAAAAACTATATACTTCATCTTACATTTAAATAGTATGTGAGGTAGTTTTGAAATATTTGACTCAACAGGGACATTTGACATGAAATATTCGCTCTTGTTTGTCATACATAAACATTAATTACATATTCATATTACATATAGTGGAAGCATATTGGTTTAAAAAGTAAATTTCAGCAGACATCACATGCCACAATGCCCCCTGCCTCTAATTTCAGTGGCCTGCCCCAAGGGTGTAATAACAGTTTATTACACCTATCCTCGCTTTATGACCCTTCTCTACCTCCACCCGCTCCCCTTCTAGCCCACGCTAACTGTTATTGAAAACACCCAGGTCTGCCATATATCATTCCTGAGCACCACAGTATGCTATGCACAACAAAGCCAATCAGTACCTGTTCACATGGGTATTGTTCAGGTCACATTGGACTGGCTCCACTTATCTAATATCTGTTTCGATGTGGAAGTATTTAAACATAATCTCATTTGTCTTTACAGCCTTAGTTGCCCCAAGGCTGAGTCTTCTTATTTCCCCCCACATGCATCTATTGTGTAATTGCGAAGGGAAAACCAGATGGAATTCAAACTACTACTAATATTTTTATTTTTTGCCACATTGCATGTGTGCGTGGATGTGTCTTTGAGTAAACGGTTAAATGGGTTTTGGTCTGCATTATTGCAAGTGCAAGGATAATATGCACTCATCTTGAACTGAGAGAGAGAATAATAAATATTGAGAGCTCTGCATAGTTCATGGTAACATATATAATGGATCTGGCATAAAATGCAAAGCATCAGGTATTCAAAGAGAGGGATAAAAGCTCAAAGGTGACACTGTGACAAGACTCATGGAAGGACCCGTCACCCCTCTGCCTCAGTGCAGGCTTCGCTGTCAGCCATGAGACTGTGTATGGAAGAAACCGCACTGCCACGGCAATGCAAATGAAAATTTTACTTCGTGAAATTGAATAACTCTATCTAGCCGACATACCTAGCCTACAGCTCAGTGAGTTTATGAAACATGCTACTGGGAAAAAAAAAAAAAAAAAACTAGTGACAGAGAACATGTTTGAGGATCTCCTGAAAACTCTGAAAACTCTCTGCCTATCATAAAGAAACATTCTCTGCAATGCTGCATATAAACTATTAAGCAATGTGGAAGTTTTGATCACATTAGAGGCAATTTCCTGGCTTATTCTTGTTTTGAAATAATTTGCCTATCTTTAGTCATGCTTAGACAATTTTAGATTTTATGTCCTTCTTTTCCGGACAGACTGGAAAAACAGTTGGTCTGAATATGTTGTGCAAACATGACTTTTTACACAAGACATTGTAACGCCAACTGACAGGGTAGATGGGTTGTGTTGCGGGTGTCTGATGGGTGTAACTGCTTCTGTTTAATTACTTGTCAGCTGAGCAACCCAGTTGGTCATTTAAGAGATTCTATCTAACTTGAGGTGTCAAGGTACACTGCTAGGGGGCAGAGGGAGATCTTTCATGACTAAACAGTCAATCTTTGCTTCACTTAGGTTCACACAAGATATATTACTCTGATCTAATAGTTGTTTTTTTTTTTTGTTTTGTTTTTACAAATCTAATGGATAACTTTTATCACTCAATTGAAAGGATATTTCTTTTCCTTATGCTTCTATTTGTATTTCCTTTTCAAATATATATTTTTGTACAAGTAATAATCTGTCTACACTTTTTTTAAAATTATTATTATTTTAAAGTTTACATGCAAAGTATAACATAGTTGATATAATATTATGTTTCTGTCCATATCTTATGTTTTCTAGTCTGTGCTGGCACGGAGAACAAGCTAAGCACTCTGTCGGACCTGGAGCAGCAATATCGCACATTGAGAAAATACTACGAGAACTGTGAAGTCGTCATGGGCAACCTTGAGATCACAAGCATTGACCGTAGTCGAGATCTGACCTTCCTCAGAGTAAGGACAAAACACAAACATGTTGTTAATGAAATGATTTGACATGTGTTGAAATATGGACCCAATGCAGAGTATATATGCATTAGATCCATTAGATCCAAATAAATATATGTATATATTTATTTGAAAAGGTTTAGTCAAAAATGTTAATGTAAAGCTCATAAAACCTAAAAAAAATCATAAAATTTTAATTTATTGGAAATTTGGGACTATTTGGTCAAGAAGCCATTCAGGTTAGCTTGCTAATTTAAACCATTTCGACTTTTTTGACCCCATTTTAAATAGAATTGAGACTCGGAGTTAAAGCAAGGCATCTGACCCGAAATCAGAATCGTTCAAATTGAAATGATGCACATATATAGTAGAAAGGTGTATCTACAACTAATTTTAAAATGATCTTGTCAACTGAGACTTCTTCTGTACCTTTCCAAGGCAGAGTGAGGTTTATATTAGGGGATTACAACTCAATGTTCTGCGGTATCTTATTCCAGGACTTACACTTCAATACTGCAATAAAATCCGGTTATACTCATATGCAATTCATACCAGTAAAGATATATTTTTTTAAATTGAACCCAACATGTATGTCCCAAAGGAATCTTAACCCAACACCCACAAATACTCCTACAGACACATGCACGCACAATATCATTTGTTTCTTTCAAACTTGAAATTAGTTAATATTTTCATTTGAAAGTTTCTCTGAGCTGTAACTTCATGCAAACGACTGAAGGTAGGTGATCTTCAGTCTGAATTTTGAGAATAAAGAAACCACAGTCTATACAGTTTTGCGGAAATCAGCTGCTCACGTTGACCTCTCAGACCTCTCCTGATAACAAACAGAGCCCTGGATTGTGCTGCCTGTACTCTGCACTGCCAACACCATCCAACTCCAATTGATTTCAATCTTTCTGGAGGGCATGGGAGCTCCCGTGGTGTTACACTAAAGTGCTGACTGCATTATTGGGCCAATATTGCTGTGAGAATGAACTGAGCTACTGAGGCTTTGCAAAGAAAGCAAGTCTCAACCAAAAATCAAGCAATGTTCTTGTATTTGTCACTACATCAGTAATTTAAAATTAATAAAGATAAATGGTTTGTTTTTGTCTGGTAGAAGTAATGGGCTAAGACATATCTTACTTGGGTTTAATCTATGTTATCTAACATGTGTAGACTGACCAAAAACATCAAAACAACACAGTCATTAAATGTTTCACACCACTATGAAAGAAAACAGATTATATTAAGGAAGAGGGAGCAATGGACAGTTTACTGCTACCATTAGACGTCTGAAGAGACACCTGACTCCACTGACCTTAAATTAAAAAAAGGTGTCTGTTTATTTTGTTATGTGTTTGAGGAGGGGAAAATGAAATCTGATTATAGTTCATTGGCACAGAGCAAATTTGAACTATGAAACATGCTCACCTACGTTTTATCTTGTGCCGTTTAACTGTGTGACCTGTACCAGCTAGTGTTATATAAAGGGCACATTTGCGGGATGAGGTTGAAAGTCCATTAGTACAAGCCTTTCTTTAGATGCTGACATTATACTAGTCATTTACAAAACATCTCCCTGTGGCACCAACTTGCCAGGGTTCTCCACCTTTTCATGGTGGGCAATTAAAATGGGTTAATTGAAGATGCTAATTAGAAACATGAGGTGCCAAACAGCTAGGGAGCCAAAGGGCAAGGTGCAGTATGTATTTTTAGGAAATATTATTATTATGATAAGACACATTAATAACATTGCTCCCCTGGGAGGGAAAAATAACCTTGAGGTAGAAAAGAAGTGAAGGGGGAAAAAAAAGAGAACTATTGTGCTGGAGCTTACCATACCACCTGCCTTGGGAGGTGATTGAAACTGATGCTTGTGCATTGGCTTCTTTTGAAGATAGCCAAAAGATTGATGGCTGCCTCCCAAAGCCCCTCGAACAGCTTTAGCAGTAAACAGAGTCCATCTTCCAAACTGCCACCACGACAGATGAATCAACGCTTTCACAGTGATTAATAACTGCATTTCAGCACACATGCTTTTATTCCCTCACACATATGCACATTGTTACAAAGACGCCCACAGTCAGCTTTAACCATATGTACAGTATGTAAGAATCCATATCCTTACTACTTTGTATATGTTCCCATGTTTTACGCATAGAAAGCATTTGCATACAAAAATTGGAAATTCCAAGCAAAGCATACCTTTGTATGTGGCAGATGGCAGAAACAGATAAAAGGAATGGTAGCTAGGTATTATCTTTTTTCACTGTCCCTTAATCAGTCTACAAGAAGAATATTTCTATTTACTTTCCTCCTGGTGGTGTCTTCTGCTTTAACAAAATAGTTTTTAACCATTTCCACCCAGTTACTCTCTTCTTCCCTCAATTATAGTTAACACTCATAGCATACACTTAGTTGCAGTTTTACTAGGTCTACCTGTTTTATTTCTTAATAGAGCTAATTTGAAAAAAAAAAAAAAACATTTTATATATTTTAGCTCAGATCAGTGATGTTGACAGACATTTGCAATACATTATACTATACTAGCTTGTATAGTTTCTGAATCTTTAGAAAGTAATAAAGTGGTACAAACATAAAATAACTTTGTAAGAAGAGACAAATATAAGTATGTAATAAGATATTTAACTATTATTTAACTTATAGTTAATCTCATAAAAGTAAAATTATATTACCTTGATCACAAACTTTGTTTTGTATATAAAACATAAATGCTTTTTTATTATTAATATTTTCGTAGGATTAAGGGAGGAAAACATTTGTTTCATTGATGTCTCTGATGGAGGTTTAGTTAATGTCCCTTCAGCCACAAAGGGTGAATACAAATTTTTGATTCTTCTGGAGATTTTTTGTCATTTTTTGTTTTGCTTTGTTTTGATATGAATATGTGATTCCCCTGAGCAAAATGTTTGCTCATTCCTAAAGCATCCATATACTATTAACTCGTAGAAGGACCCTTCTTTGAAAAGGTCAAGTCAGCTGGGACTGAAAGTGCAGGATGGGGGGATATTTTTACTGCTCAAATTACTTTCATATGAGCTACCCTGCTCTGTGATCCCCACTGAAAATGGCCAAAGAGGGCAGTATAAACACATTAACAGTCATGTAGACATCAGCCTTTTTAATTTTAACTAAGTAGGTTGTTCCTGACTGACGTTGCAAGATGTCTTTAACCTTTAGTTGCCGATTAGTCTATTTCTGCTCACTGGCGCGCACATTGTGCTCTCCATCTGGTGAGCTTCACTATGACAGCTGGGAGTTATTTGAACAAGTGTAAGGTCAAGTGCACAATTCATTGAATAGTCACTAAGGGCAGCATTAAGACAAAGACCATAATTTTCCAAAAGCCCCATTTCGACATTATGGTAGTAGTATACAGCAACCTTTAAACTTTTTTTTTCTACCCATAATACAATAAGTGTTAGTTTGTTAAGCTTGTTGTCTATATTACTCACCCTTAAACATAAACATTATTGTTTTACATTTTACCCACCTAAAGAAATTTCAGAAAAAAGCAACAATGTAAATGTCATAAGGAATTCAATCACAGTTTTGATTAAAAGTTGTTACAGTCAATCTTAGCTTCCGGCTACTGGGGAGCAGCTAAGGCCTAGCTAAGGCCTGCCAGGTTTATAGCACACTGGGGGAAACCCTCCACATCCCAAAAGTTTTCGTTTGAATTGTGAGCTGCTGCTGAAAGTAGTCATCAGAAGATAGGCACACTCTGGTTACAAATTCAAATTCTAAAATACTTTGTTGATCCCAATAAAGCACAAATATATCTCAGATAATACTTGATATATAAAACTCAGACATTTTACTCAGATCATGGCTTTTCAATTAAGTCTAATTGAAAGTGAAATTGCAGGATGGGGGGAAGGTATCAATACCTTAGATGTTTGAGGAAATTTAGAAATGTGAAAAATATATAGATAACATTTAATAAAACTGTTGTCACAAAACCAATTTTTTTTGACAAATCTAAAAGCACTTCTCAGTTTGATCAAAGTGTAAAGAAATTTTATGGTTAGATATCCCTGATCATTCCTTCTCAACAGTGATACATATTAATATATTGGTTGAGAGAGCATATAACTCAAAATGTTGCATTTAGTAACTGAAAGAACACAGAGCTGACTGCAGCCACATTTCCACTTATTTGTGGGCCCATGAAGGCAGCATGTTGATCAGTAAAACACATCCTCCTATCTGTGTCAGGACTTGCTAAATTGGGTCATTATAATCCTTTTATAGGATTGCGGAAGGAAACCCAAGTCTTGTTTGACCCAAGTCATACAATATAATTATCTTTGATGCTGACCAAATGCAAACTTCTGAATTAGAATAGCAAAGAGTGGTCAAAATTTGGGTTATTCTAACTGACCTAAAACACAAGAAGCTTTGTCTGATTTAACTTCAGGCAGTGACATAAAAGTATTAAAGTATTTTTATTTGATATATAAATACCTGGTTTAAACTTCATTTGTATTGTACATAATCTGTAATCTGGTAATTAAACCAGATTATTAAGCAATAATCTGGTTTAATTACCTCTTTGGAATTAAATCAGTCAATAATCTGCCAATTTATATCTGTTTTTAATTTCATTATATTAACTTTATTTATATATATTTTTTGCTCCATTTGTTTTCTTTGGTATGTTGCATTTTAAAATACACAGTGGCTAGTAAGACCAGATTGTTAGTTATGCAGATCCTTCCAAAAAAATAAACATTTCCAGGAAAGTAACCTGCAGATATTTTTTTATTATTATTATTTATTTTCCTCACTGCTAAAAAGATATTACACTTTCTCTGGTATTTTTTATTGCACCCTTACTCTGAAACTGGAAACAAGTTTCAACTTTCCTAATACAAAAATGTCTGGGTCATAAATCATCACTGAGGTCATGAGGGGAATCAGAATAACAATTGATTGTTTTGGGTACCCAGGACTGGCCAGAGGTTTAGCAGAAAGATACC